ATTCTGCGGCTTTGAAGTAGGTAGTGTTACCGGTAATTTTCTTCAGATGTTTTACTCATTGTACCTAATATTACAGATTGTAAAAATATTTTTAAATAAAAAAAAATAAATAAAAGTTCTACCACAGTAATATTTTTAAGAGGTTATTTTTTACACAAAAAAAAACTGGGGGTTGATATATCAGCCAGCTGATCACCCCTGTATACACGCCACTACTCTATTTAATAACTATTGTAATTATTTCTGGTCACGCTCGGCCGATCGGAGCCAATATTCTTTCTTTTGGACGGGGAACGATAAATCAATTATTTATTTAACTTTTTTTTTTTTAACGTATCAAAGTATTGTAATTATTAGAGTTGTAGGACTACTGACTGATTGCTGGGGACTAGTTTGCGAGTGAGGGACAGACGTTGCACGGTCCAATGCACATTCAAATAACATATTATTATTAATAACGTTTTGTTCTATCCGCAGCGGCCTTCCGAGAGAGTCTTAAATAATAATATGATCATTACTATATATTTTTTTGGCGGGACTTTATTCTCTTCTTTCGTCACATCTGCCAGCCGGCTGATACATATACAAAAACCGTATATAGACCTAAAAGACACGTGTGTTCTTTCTGTTGCCCTCCCCGACACGTTTCCCTTTATATATATATATTATATTATACACCGCACGTGTCTGTCGTGGCCCAACGGTGCGTTTGTTGTGTTGTTTTTCTACCAAACGACAGTGGTAGACGGCGTTTTCACGGTGGAAACACACACTGTACACAGTACAACTGTGCAACAGAATAGTGTCATAATAATAATAATGACTCTCTCTTTCTATATAGCTACATAGGTGACGGACGCACAGGAAGTGCATGTTTTAGAGAAATATACAATAATAGGTTTGACGTTAAAGAAAAAAACATTGTACATTACACAAGAACGGAAACGAGAAATTAGGAGGAGACGTCTACAGCTCTAGTAACGCTTTGTGAATACCCAAAAATAATCCTGATCCCAACCTGGACGGACTGACCCGTAGCCAGACCACCCCATAGACGGTGCAAGGGTTCTAAAAAGTAAAAAAAATATTAAAATTTTTATAGCCATCAGAGGCGCGGGAATTATTTTTAAAACACTATAGTAGATTGTTTTTTTATCCAAATGAATGGGCTCTGATGGTATAGTGACACAGCTATAGGTATAGGTATGTGTCCTGTGTATAAACTACTCGAGTAGGCACTGCCATGTCAGCTGGTCGTGCCGGTTTCCAAAGGTTACCATCTATCTACACACATTTGGCGAACAAGCAACAGTGACGTCATTGACAATCGCATACCGAACGGACAACAGTTATCTCGCATAAGATACGATGATGATATATATTCCGTTTTCAACTTAATCTATTTCTTTTGATTTCTCTCAAACTATATTCCAGAAGAGATAGAAAGTCGATGCGCCAAGACTGCCTCGTTTTACAGTGTTTTACATTGAACAAATTTTCGATTTTAGCTAAAATTAGATGGATGAATTTTGGTAATTTGACATGATTATCTAGTAGTAGTCAACAGCAATGTAAACAACGCAACCTCTGGTGCCAAAAAAAAAAAAAAACGATTGACCGTCAAAAAATATTATTATTGCTACCGGTTGGGCAACGCGTTTGTGGTCTGTGAATCTTGTGACTATTTTTTTTTTTCCACACACCGTTTTGTTCTATTTCTATATTATGCGCTTATGGCCACCGGCTTTAAGTGTAATAATAATATGTAACCGTACACGAGGCCCTCGTTGAAATCGTTGTCACAAAAATAGTTGTCAAACTCACAAAAGTAAACAAATTTAAAACGTCAACGTTGTCTTTTCTGTATTTTAATTTTTTTTTTAAACCTCTGACGACCGGAACGTTAGTGGTAATAATATTACAAATTGTTTTTTTTTTTTTGTAGGTTAGGTTAGGTATCTTTGGGCCAGAAAGACGGAACACCGCCCAAGTACAAATATACCCAAGCCAAAAACAAATATCTATCCGTCTATCTTATCAACATCGAATTTGTTTTCAAGGTTAATTTTATTATAGTTAACTATAAACTGCATTGTTAATAATTGGCCAAAGGCCAGTTACATGACGTTTAGCAACGACTTGGTTTGTTATGTAACAGCAAATTACTTGCTAACAGAACCGACTGAATTGCATTAGAAGAAACCGAGAAAACTGAATTCACCTAATAGTAGCTGCCTTAGCCAACTTAATAGCTATATATTATTCGGATATCTTTACAGTCAGGTAAATGCAACTAGGTATGTACTATGAAATGAGTGTACCTTAAGTCACTCTGTTGCTTATTGTTATGGACACGGTTCGATGGGCCGGACTTGCCAAGACGGTAGGAGTTATTTAATTTATACCCACAAACGTCTAATTACATTTTTTTTTTATAACAATCTCTACAAAATAATACACTGTAATTATTCGGTCGAAGGTTTTGTGATGATGATGATGATGATAATAATAATAATACAAAAATCGTAGACCGTTCGGGTTTGGGTTTAAAGTAATTTATGGCCAGGTTAAAAAACAAATGAAAACCGTGGGGGGGAGGGTCCAAAAAACGATTCATTATGCAAATGATGCAGACACGTTGGAGACAAAGAGTGTTCATACACACAGACACACATCTCGAAGAGTTAAGACCGCTGGTAATTGACCAACAAAAAAATAAATTTAAAAAAAAAACCCGTTTATGTGGTTGACTGTGGTTTCGCGAGCAAAGTCGAAAATTAATTAACCTTTTTGTTTGGTCAGACAATTATTGTAAATCAGCTTTACACTCGGTCGAGCAGTAAATACAAACCAAACAAGTGGCGAAGATGTTTTATTTACCTAAAGTAATATAGAAAACAATTAAAAAAAAAAACAAATTTGAACTACTTTTAACTCTTGTACCTACTCTATTAGTTACAAATTGTTGTCAACAACTTGGCTGTGCTTTCAAATTCAACGGATTTTGATGTTTTTTTAAACATTTTTTATTCATACAACGAATTTCTAGTGTTTAATCAGCTGTTGGAAAATGTAGGCATTGAAAACGGTTTGTCTGATATATTATAACAGCTCAACACTATATTTCAAGAAAATTGTACCTACATCAAGTTCAAATGAAAGATTAAAGTCTGAACATCTGTTTGATTGCAGACGATTGCTCTCTTACAAACACAATGTCTTGCCGTGACCATAAGTATTTCTTAGCGGTTTATTGAAAATCAATTAAAGAGAAAATAAATGGTTAGTTTAATACTTTGTCTTTTTTCAAATTAAGCAAAATTGCGGTCACTGAAAGTTTATATATGCATTTTAGGGGTCAAAACGCTCGTTTATTATTAAAATTGTAAAAAAAAAAAATTCTTCAATTAAGCATTACTTTTCATGTCTTGAATATTCTGTATAAAGTTCATTGGAAACCATTTAGTAGTCTTTGTAAAAAAGTTTTGAGAAAAATGTGTTTAAAGTGTCACAAAACGCGTTACAATTTTTGTTTAAGTAAAATTAATAAATTTTTTAACCAACCTCTAACCCCTTCTTAAACATTTTCAAAATTATTTTCTACATCTAAAAAATTTAAAGATTTTTTAAAACCTACAATCTAGGGCTTAAGGGGGTGAAAGCGGGTGGTTTTTAAGTAGTTTTATATAGGCAATATTTAAGAGAAAAAAAAGGTTTTGATAAATTCCGACCATGTAAATTCTTTGTCCGGTTAATTTGTAGAAGTTAGGTTAGGTTAGGTTAGGTATTGTTTTTAATTTATATAATTTTTTCTACTGGTAAAATCCATTTTTGGTTTATTTTACATCCAAAAGTCTGACAAAATTACAGCTACTTAAAAATGATCAGATTAAGATTTTGTAAAGTGATTCGAGTTGCTCGACTACTTTATTAGGTTAATGTAGGAGACGGGTTTTGAGTTTATTGTAATTAAATGAATTAAATTTGAAAATTTGTCAATATTAAAAAGCAAATTTTGTTTACTTGGAAAATAAACAAATAATCAAAAATGCGTTTCCGACATAACTTAGTGGCCAAAGAACTTTACAGCAATGCCGTCGGACCGTCCTAAGTAGTCGAAATTTTCTTCTTTTTAAAATTAAATTTCTTTTCTGTACTTCAAACGCCTTACTTGCCGACTTGACTTGATAAGACAAAGGCCGGCCGGGGGTCGCAATAAACACAAGCGCACACATGTGCGACCACCGGCTGACTATGCAGTGGTTTTTTTTCGTTCTCAACCGCACACAAGTGCTACTATAATTTACATATATATATATATATAGTATATACATCTATATTATGCATACTTATATACTTATATAATATTGTACTAATAACATTACACGAGTGTGTACGTTTTCGTAAACGCATCGACCGAAAGCATACTTGTATATTATTATTATTTCCAAAGCCAACAAGGCCGGCACGAATGATATGATAATTTAATCTTAAAACTCAAATAATTAGCTCTTTTCGAAACGCTTACGTTTAATTTTTTTACCGAAATATTTGCTGTATTAAACACAAAAAAGCGCTAATTTTAAAACTGTAAGGTTTTTTTGAGTCCCAAACCCTTCCTTCTTCACTGCCACTTGGTGTAAGGCAATGTCATTGGCAATGCGGGCCGGTTTATGGGGTTAAACAAAACTACCAGTGGCGTTTATGAGGGGGAAACTAAATATTATGCTTTATGCGGGTTGCCAGGAACAACCCTTTACCAGAAAAAATTTAAATAGATTTTTCTCCAAGTAGATTCGGTAAACCGTATTTAAGTAAATTTGTGTAATTCAGTAACTGAATAATATGAGATAAGAATTATAACAATAGGGGTTTTTTCAAAAGATTTTTACTTTTTTTTTTTTGGTATTTGATAATTAACTATCCTAATCAAGCTAAAAAATTCATAGTCCTCTTCTTATCCTAATCAAACAAAATATAACCGTGTAGAGACAACTAACCTTAAGGGGGCAGGACGACCTGGGGCTGAGCTTGTCGGTTTTTTTATTCCATTTTTTTCTGCCAAAAAAGCACTTACCGCGTTTTTTTAAACGTTAAACCTTTGAAAAAAAAAGTCCTCTTTCGCCCGGTCGACGCACTCGGAGGGGTAAATTTTGAATTTAAAAAAAAAAACCCACAAAATTGGCATAAACCGCACCGAATCGTGTGGGTATAATAATAATAATAAAAAAAAACGTCGAGCACACACATATAATAAAAAATAACACTGCTGAGACGACCACAGCACAAACGCACGTACGGTACGACCGGCGGATAGTCGGCACATGAGTGGAAACCAGTCTCGACTCAGCCGGTGTGTGTGCAGTGTGTGATATCTCCCCACCGCCATGTGTATTACACACAATATCTGCTGCGGTAAGTGTACCTCTACACACATGATATTATTATAATATAAATTATACACAGCCCGTTTGTATGTTATTATGCAGCCGAGAATAATTATTTTGGCGCGAGACCACGGCCAATGCCACCGACCTTTGGGCCTTTGACGACTTTGAGGTCTGTACTGCAGGGTTGCCATAAAAAAGTCCATCCCGAAAAAGCCCGGGCTAAACCCTATTGCCTTGGAAAAATCCCACTAAACTTTAAAAAAAATGAGTAACTTAGAAAAACACTGTTTTTTGTACTTGGGTAATTTAAAAAAAAAAACATCTCTTTGGTAATATTGCATAAAATGAATAACAATAATTATACAAGTGCACAACATAATTCAAAAAACATTATAGGTCACTTTTTAGTGCAACCTAACCTAACCTAACCTAACCAGCCGGCCTTTGTCTTATATGTAAGATCAAGTCCGTGTCCAGCAAGTTAGGCGTTTGCAGTTTAGAAAAGAAGTTAATTTTGGCATGAAGGCGATTCGTGTGGTCAGTGAACTTTATGGATACAGCAAACTTGGAAAATTAAAATCTGATAATTGTATTAAATGCCATAATAAAATATATTGGTAAATTAGTTTTGGTTTACAACGCACAACTCTGTTTATGATTTAGTTATTTTAGTTATGAAAAGAGTTAAGTAAATCGTTTGTCTATGAACAAGGTCAAATTCGTTTAGTTAAAACTGAGATATGCAGATGACACCGTATTGATGGCTGGCAGTATCGAAGACCTGCAAAAGATATTAACAAAGTAGTGACAGCTGGTGAAAATTTAGGTCTAATACCTTGGACATGTTATACGGCATCCTTTCTGGAATATAGTCTACTACAATTAATAACCCATGGCAAAATAGTTGGAATGTCTTGGATGGACAACCTCAGAAGATGGTTAAATACATCTACGAACTCACTATTCAGAGCAGCCATTAATAAATACCAAATTACTAACATGATTGCCAACGTTCGATAACGAATACGGAGCACACAAAGAACAAGAGAAGTGCATAAGAGTTAAACATATATTTTTTTATAATTTTTTTCAAGTAAAATTGTATGTGAAACACAGTTTCCCGAAAGTTTACCATATTGGACTAACCCCTTTCATAGGGGTCATAGGTCCTAACTTAACCTAACCTAACCAAACCAAACCTAACCAAACCTAACCTAACCCTACTTGACCTAACCTAACCTTTTTTTTTACTATTTTGTTTTTTAACGCACACTTGGGAGGAGAACCTTACTTAACCTACCCTAACCTAACGCTAATTTGTATTTAAATGAATTTAATAGTTATTCGCAGACAAACGGACGAGTAAACACATTTGGTTTGGATTGTGTTCACTGTCATCCCGCAGTAAACACACACACACACACACAGTATTGGTCAATAGTCAATGGTTAAACATTAAATATCCACACGTAATGAGCTTAAAAAAAATACCGAGATGATAAAACACGTGTAATGTAATGAATAGTGTTTTTTTTTTTTTGTAAAGGCTACACCTTATGCTACAACATGTAAATATTGTAAAGTACCTATACCGATATTTTCACAACGGTTGGAGGCTTGGGTCTACTTTAACAACCTTGTACGGTACGCATAAATCTAGTACACGGTTTTTTGGTATTTTATGACATTTTTATTAAATAAAAAAGAATAAAAGAATGATATAGTATAAAACGCTGACTTGCACAAAACAAAAACCTCGTTAAGTTTAACGATGCGTTCGACCTTGACAATAGAGTTTTATATCCCCCCCCCCCCACAACAGATTGTCACATACCGAGTGGTAACTCACATGGTTACTTCATTAAGAACTTCACATAGAATGCTTACCTAAATATCTACAGTTGAGTTAAAATATATTAACTATAGCTTGTTTCATTTATTTCGATTTGTCTAAAACACAATATTATGGAAGAACATTGAAAAAAATAAGTAAATGGAAAAATTTATATTTTCTAAAAATGTAATCAAATTAATTGGCACATAATTACTGTTGTACTAAGCTTAAAAAACAGTTTGATACAATATGGTTTTTTTCTGCTTGTAAGCATTTTTAGACGCGTGTTTCAGATTTTCGCATGATACATTATTAACTAATGTTATGTAAAGTCAGCAAAATCTCTTCAAAGAAAATTGTCTTTATTTCTGTGCAAGGCGATTCCGTTCAGACACTCTAAATCACTTGTTCAGTAATGGTTTATATTTTGTCACACACACTCACTTTTATTTGGTTCTTCTACTTTAATTTATCTTGATTTCTCTAACTTTTTTCGACTATTTGACCTTCTCACATTTGTTCGATGCCCAAACCGTTTAAATATGATGTGAATAATTAAGTTTTAGGCATAGCTGCAATTTGTATCTCAATCAATGTGCTAAACATTCGATAAGAGAGCGTTACACAACACAGATACGCGGTTTTTGTATGACTCAATCGTTTCCTAGGAATACTGCGGTTCATTTTTTTTATTATTATTTTTTAATATTCTAATTTTTTTTTCTCTTGTCTCAGTTTGAATGAATCGACTTCAGTGTGTGTGTATAATGTTCTGTTTGCCGACCATGCAGATAAACAGTGTGCATTCGTTGTGTAATTTATCAGCAAAAAAAAAAAAAGAAACCCACGGACACGGTTCTAAACGGTTCATGAATGAATTAATGCGAATGCCTAGAAATTTTCAATTTCCTTCCATATACTGTGCTAAACTATTGTTTTGTCATATTAATTATTATTATTGTACTTCCCGAGAGTAGAAAACATGGTTTGTTGAACCCTCGGTTGCGATACCGTTGTGTCTGAATCGAGTACATTGCCAAATGTCTTATAGTTTTCTGTTGATTTTTAAAGAAATCAAAAAAAATCATCACTCTAGATCACCGTCACACAGTTAAGTAACAGCTTTTCATATAAAAACCACTAGGACCATGTTCAGTCTGTAATTCATAATGCTTCATAAGTTAGTCAATTAATAACTCATTTCACTATCAGCATCTATGATTTAGGACGCATCTATTCAGCATAGATCTAAGGTGAGTGAAATTAAAAAAATATATATTTATCCATTTTCAACCTACTGTTAGGCCTTTTTACTGGTTTTACTTTGTTACTTACCTTAAAAATATTTGCATAATATGTTTGAGAATTATTCGAACAATGCACAGCTCAGCTTGCTATTTACAATTTAAAATTGTTTAATTTAATATTTTATTTCATACAGATTTTGGTATGAACTGTTTATTGGACATTTGGGTATAAATGTAGAAAAAAATGTATACATGAACTATATTATAAAAAAAAAAACAACACAAACGGGTTGTATTTTTTAGATTTTTGTTTTGCATGCTTCTCAACAAAACCGACATAATGTATTCCATGTTTAATAAAATATATGCGATCTCTGTGTGTAGGTTATTCAGTTATTGTATTATTTTGTCTAACGCTTATCCGTGCTAAATCGACCAGTATCGTGTAACACGATCTTCAATAAGTCCTTTGTGTGGAAATACCGTTAAAAATTATTCATAAGACGTTCAACACGCGTTATTCATTAAAATATACAGTTCGGCAAACATAATATAGGAATAATATCATACCTAGTAGTCGGTAAAAAAAAATAACAATAATAATATTATGTTAACTCCATTCACACGGTAATAGTGTATTTTATTTTTCTCTGTTAAATTTTCAAGAAATAGTAAACAGCTTAACACCTACATTCATAAATCGTTTAAACAATGTTATTCTAAATAGCAGTGACTTCGAATGAAACCGCATTTTTGTTTTGTGAATGCTATCCAGTGAAATTTATTCCATCTCGAACAAAACCAAACATACTCATACGACCCATAACTTGACAAAGGTAAAGTACAACTAATAAAAAATTATTAAAAGTTTAATTAAATTGCTAAACAAAAACAAAATGTTTATTATCAAGTAAAATAATTCATAGTTAACACCTTAATTTCTAAAGTAATCATAATTTTCAATAAATTAATTTGAATATTATAACAACAGTTTATTAATTGTTACATTAACACTTAACTCTTTGTACAACCATTAATCAGAATTCTTTGATAACGTTTTCAATAAAATATTAAATTTAGGTAACCACAAATTAAAAAGATAAAAAAGAAGTGGAATTTTGAATTATTATAAATCACATTGACTTTTTTCTGAGAAAAATCTTTACTAACATCAAGCACCCTATCTTCCCTGAATCAATGGGCGGTTTTATCCTTTTTAAAGCTGAGAATAATCTTTCACTTGTACAGTTTGGACAAAGCAGTATACATAAGTATACTGATAAAGTACAGTAATCAGAGAGAACATTTAACTCCTTGTTAATAGCTGCTAAAACTATATTTTCTAACATTTTGAATAAAGTGCACTGGAGAAGAAAAAAAGAGGAACCATTTAGGACATTTATCATTCTTATAAATATTTGGCTGCAGTATTTTATAATAATATAATTGTCCATGTATCTAGTTTATCTGTAAAAAAACCAGACAAAATAGGGAAAACTCTACTCATGGGAGTGGGCGTTTGTCCGAACCTTAAATATATCAATAGCTATCAGACATTGTCTGGGCCAACTCGGATATTGCCAATAATAATTATTAGTATTCGCCTAGTGTGACACGGTTTATCTAACTGTAAAAAAATTACTGTAAAAACAGATTAGATAAAACCAACAGATGGTGCATATTCCTATTAGAGCAATGTAACTGCTGAAAATGTAAACAAACCAAACCAAAACCCTCCTCAACCCGGAGTAACCACTAGTAGAAAAAAAAACAAATTATACATGAAATATTATACATTCAGAACTGAGCATCTT